GGCACAACTCGCTGGGCTACGGGGTCAGCTTCATCGGAGACTACACCGCCACCCTCCCAGCGCGGAGAGCCATGGCGCTGGTGAGGGAGCGGCTGACACAGTGTGCAGTCGACGGCGGGCGCCTGGTGTCCAACTTCACCATCCACGGGCACCGGCAGCTGGTGAACACTTCCTGCCCCGGGGACAAGCTGTATACCGAGATCACAGGCTGGGAGCACTTCAGGGTAGGAAAGACCTGCCTCTCACTGCACCAGCTGCCACAGGGTGGTAACTAAGGCCAAGTGAGTCCATGACTGATGTGGTTCAGTCAGTGGGAGGTCAATGTGGAAAGAAACAAGATGACCCTGTGTTCCTTCAGGAGGAGCACAGCATTACACAACAGAGTAGTGTATTGAGCAATATTGTTGCTTAATTTGTCACCACTTAATTACAGGTTAAATACAATACACTATACACCAATATCACTGCTGAATTTCAGCCATAATACAGTATAATTTACAATAGAATGATGTCATTACTTAATTACAGTTACAATATTGATCAGTACAGAACATTGTCATTGCTGAATTATAGCTACAATACAGTATAATTTACAATAGAATGATGTCACTACTTAATTACAGTTACAATATTGATCAGTACAGAACATTGTCATTGCTAAATTACAGCTACAATAGTGTACGCCACAGAACAATTTCACTCCTGAATTACAGCTACAATATAGATCAATACAGACTGGTGTCACTGTTGAATTACCCCGACAATAAAATAGACTATAGACCGATGTCATTGCTGAACTACAGCTACAATACAGTACACTATAGACCAATATCACTGCTGAATTACAGCTACAATATAGTACACTATACACCGATATCACTGCTGAATTACTGTTACAAGACAGTACACCATAGACCAATGTCACCACTGAATTACAGCTACGCAGCTACGATATTGATAAATATAGACTGATGTGACTGTTACTGCTTAATTACAGCTACAATACAGTACAGTATACACAGACGTCACTTCTTAATTAAATCTACAATGCTGATCAGTATACCCAGATGTCACTGCTGAATAGCAAGTCCACCACAGTCCATGATATCAGAACATTACCACAGAATGGGTGCCATAGTAAGGCTTTATTCCTCCTTTGTTGTTTACAGGAAGTTCAGCCCAAACCACCAGGAGACAGTCGAGCTGGAAACTGACACTTGAGGAACATGCCGCCACAATAAAACAGTTTTCTTAGAAAGACATAGATGGGCTTGACTATTCTTTCTGTTTTGTTTCACCTCAACAGTTTTTCTGCTGTTTTGACAGCTACTACACCAGCTAGATGATATGTTGACAAATTTGGTAGACACTTTTATCCAAAGTGATGTACATTTGCACCTGATTGTGCACCTGGCTATTTAAGTGGAAGAGCTCAGGTGTGTAACTTGCTCAAGGGTACAACAGCAGGACCTCTCCTGGGGTTCAAGCCCACAGCCTTCCAGTTAAGAGTCCAGAACCCAAACCAGTGCTCCACACTGCTGCCCCACTTCCCACCTCCGACCTTTCTTGGGT